CTTCCCCGGAGCCGCTCGGAGGGAGGCGGCTGGGGGTGGGCAGCGAGAGGGCCGGGCGTCAGAGCCGGGCGGGGACGGGCCAGGATCAGCCCTCCATACAAGGCAGAGAGCAACTCCCAAAGTCGGCGTCGTTCCCGCCGCCGGGAGCGCAGGCCCCGCAGACCGGACCCTGCGGAACTCCCCGGGGACCACAGTCCGCCCGCCGGCACGCACTAACCGCGCAAGCCCCCGCCGAGCGCTTAGCTAGCGTCCTCCGCGGGTTATTTTTGGTACAAGCGGGCAGAGGCCCCCCAAGCCCTTTTCCCAGCCTCAGAATCCACTGCCTGCTTAGGAATCGTGTAGTGATTTGACAACAAATGTAGGAGGGGTTTGTGGTGTGTTTGAGAACACCGCTGTTGACTCTACCAGGTGGCACTATTTTTCCCGGGGCACCAGGGGTTAGAGCCTTTGGCAGGACTGGATACTAATGACACCAGAGGCCCCGCGGCCAGGTATGACCAGGTTTGGCTTACCTGGCAAGGACAGAGCCTCGGGGGTGGGCTGGGAATAGAGAAGCGGCTGATGCTGTAAAATCTTCCCAGAGGAACGAGAGGTGGAGGGACGAATACTCCATCAAAGCTGCACAGTGCTGCGAGAGGGTTTGGTAACACCCTAGCGAGCCACCTTTCAACGGGTCCTAAAACGCCTTGCATTGCCCACTGGGCAACCTTTCCTGACAGGTTGCCGCGGAGTGAATTACTTCGCTAGTGTGAAGATAGAACGGAGGGTGAACATCAGAAACAGGTGGCACTGTGCAAAATGCATCTAAAATGTGAAGGGGAAATGAAAGGAGGAAGAAAGTAGTGGGAGCAGCCGTTGTGGGATGGTTTCACCTCCACCCTGGGGAGAAGCCACGGCAGGGAGTCCGTAGGCCTCTGGAAAGAATGGAAGGGTCTTTAGTTAGGCCTCTCCTGCCTGGCTTAGGCCACCTCGAAGACCTGATAGGGCCTGTTAGGTGTCTGCTAGAAAGGTTTCCTGGAGCAGCCTAGATTCTTCAGCTCCCTCCAGAAGGATGTGAGAACACTTTTGACATAAGTCAGATAACACAATGTGTGATGAGAAAAAACGACCATGCTGCAAAGTGAAGGAGTGTGGCTGTAACGTTTCTAATTAAGCCTCCCTCGGGTCCAAGAGGAGTTAATGAAAGGATAGACCTCCACTCATTCGGAATTGATTTTCAAGATCTCTAAAGGCAACCTCCCAAAACAAAGAGATGATGATAACGATGGTGATGCTGGTGATGATTACTGGCTAAATCTTAAATGCATTTGTGGGTTTTTTGATGCTTGATTCGGTGATTTATCTGTCCTTTCGCCCTTGTCTCTGGTTTTTCACGCCTTGTTTGTTTTCTTTATGTCCTCTGCATCTCTATTTTGCCCTTTGTTTCTTTCTTCCTACTCTGAGTGGCCTCACAAAGGCACCCCAGAGCGACTTAACTTAGTTTGTTTTGTGCTAGGCAGAGGGAGCTTGGCAAGAAAGCTGCGCCGAGAGGGCTGAAGGGGGATGTAATGGGATTGAGAACTACAGCTCTGAAGGGTATTTTACGACTGACGATAGATTTCCCCTCCAAAATTAGACAACCAAATAGTCAAACCCATCATTTTTCAATTTTTAATGACTCAAAGGCAGATCACCTTCCCCAGCATGAGAGTTAGAATAAGACAATTAGATTCTCGTTATTGCCTACGGGATATGTTGCTATCATAACGTGCTCACCACAGAAAAATATCGTTGTAATATATTCTGTCGATTATCTCATTAACGACTCCAGACTTCCTACTATGGTACATGATTTCCAATATTCTATTTTTTAGGAGAAAAGGCTTAAAGAATAAAAGAATGTAATAAACTTTTTGAGAAGATAAGTTGGGCTTTATTATTAACTCTGCTGGCCTTTGAACCAAATCTCAATTTCTTGGTATCTCTCTGATGAAGTATTGTGTTCTCCAATATTTGAAGCAGTGGAAGGTATTGCTTCTGTAGTTCTTACTGAAAGGAGTAGTTATCAAATGCAAACCTAAAACATTGTTTAATTCTCTGCAGTGAGGTTTAGCTGTTGTTTTAACAACATAAAACACTTAATGAAGATATTCAAATGAGGCTTCATGTTTATGTATAATATCTAAAACAAAGCTAATTCCACAACATGCATCATGTTTGTACTGGATTAACTATAACCTTCCACAATGTTTTTCTGCCCCCAATATGTTCTTTGAGGAAGTTCCATAAAGAAGAGAACATATTCTATTAATTTTAAGAAAAGTTTGCTAAATCACCTAAAATCTACCACCCAAGACAAAATTTTTACAAATTGTAAGGATCGATGATTTTAAAAATGGTGGCATCATGGCCTGTAAACTAGAAAGAAGTCCAAAATCAGTATCCAATAGTTATATAAGAGAAAATAGCTTAATTAGATAGTAAATTTAGTGAAATGCTGCTAGGTATTTTGTATTTCATCATTTCTAGATGAAACTTTAAAGATTTCATTTGTGAAAAATATTGACTTACTTACAAACAAATATATGATCCCTAACTTGTCAATGGCTCTCAATAGTTGTTTCCTATAAAGGAAAGCCAGATTTAAAGAGAAATGGATAGAAAGCTTCAATTGTTTGAACTTCTTAGGGTATCCTTCCAAAAGATGTGCATAGAAAGAAAGCAACCCAGAATGTCAACTCCCAGGGGAATAGTCAAGGGAATGTGTACTGATTTTTAAGTCAGACAGAGAAAGTTACTTTTTGGTATTTTAAAAATAAAGTGGCACAAAGGAGCCTTCATTTAAAAAAAAATAGGAACGAGGGGCTGGAGAGATCGCTCAGTGGTTAAGAACACTGGTTGTTCTTGCAGAAGAGTCGGTTTGAATCCCAGCACCCACATGACAGCTAACAACTGTTCATAACTCCAATTCCAGGGTATCCAACAGCCTCTTCTGTCCTCTGCTGGCATGCATGACACGGGTGCACTTACCTACATGCAGGCAATACACCCATACATGTAAAATAAAAATAATAAATAAAAATTTTAAAAAATACATACAAAAATAGAAAAGAAACTATTCTAAATTAAGAAGCATAGTCAAATGCTTCATATATAAACAAGACAATTTAGGATAAACTTTTCTTTGGCCCAAGTGATATGTGCATAGATGATAGATAGATAGATAGATAGATAGATAGATAGATAGATAGATAGGGCATTCAACTTTCTACCTGGACAATTGGCAGCATTAAACATATATTTGCTGCTACATATTGTGTGTTTATCATAGTCTTATGCTGGCAAACTTACACTAGCTTCGGTAGTACAGAAACTAGCTCTGTACTGTAACACACCATTACATCTGCAAATAAGCAGTAACATCTCTGCTATTCTGCTTCAAATCTCTTTTAATCATAGAATTTTTACATAGAATTTTTTGTTCTTGTTTTATTTTTCCTATTCCTTGCTCCTTACTTCCATCCATCAAAATCACATTTCTGGGCCTGCAAAATATAATAAATAAAGTAACAGCCTACTGCATGACTTTTACTAAAAACAATATATTTTACTCAAAAATTTAGGTTTCAAGGTAAGAGTCATCATTCGATGAATAAAGCTGGAGTGGTGCTTGGTTTTGTTCTAGAGGATGTAAGTGACAGCACAGAAGTATACAGAACTATTTGCCTAGGCCTACCTAGACAAAGGGCAGTGGAAAATTCAATTTTTTATCTAAGTATTCACTGACAAAAACAATGCAATGAGCAATAGTCAACAAGAGATGACAGTAAACTTTGAAATGACCAAAACTATTGATAGCTAGCACCTTTTCCAGTTGAGAGAAAGACAAATATAATCTATGGGCATTACTCTTCTAATCGTGGGTTTTCAGATTCTGTAAATACAGAAATATACTATTGTAACCTAGCATATTTCTATAAAATGAGGCTACGTTATGGAACAAATTCAACTGTGACTAACTTATTACAGTAGACTACAGAGAGCTCACAGTTAATCTACCAGATGGGGAACCATACATGCACCACAAAATAGTGTTGCAAGGAGTTTACTCTGCAGTAATAAGCATGGAAGAGGACATATAAGAACCAGCATTATACTGATGTTCCCTCATATGTTAGATTTATAGGTTTAAAATGCCTAAGATTATTAGAAAGTATATATGACTAGCTGAACATTTTTAGGGAACTTTACTTTTTAAATCCTATATTCCACTGACATGAAAAAAATGGGAATCATAGTACTGTAATTTATCACAAATGGGAGAGTGAACTCTTATATTTGGTATTCAGAAACATTTGAAAATCAATATAGAGTAAATATTATCTAGCAATAGTATTTTTTCATGAACTACAAGGTGATAGGAAGCAATTCCCAAGATTCCTGAGTACCTGCAAAAAAATACTATGCTGTCTAAGAAGTAAAGGATACAGTCATATGCTATATGATATTCTATATTTTCTGAACAATTAATAATAGATAAACACTGAATATCTTTAAAATTAGACAGAGATTTAAATAATTCTGTTCTAAAATAGCTATGTTGTGTGTTGGAATTTGCAAACTTTGATTTTCTTTTCCTTATTTGCCAATCTTAAAATTTTCACTGTGTGACCTATTTTTTAAGGACATAACTCTCAGAATGTCCACCACTAACTAGAAAAATTGACTTAACATAATTTGTCAACTAGGGTGAAGATAGTCTACAGAAAAGCAAAGAGAATCGAGTCTATTCAAGAATTGGACGTTGCTGCAATCCTTTTTGGTACAGACATTAATGTGTATTTTGTGAAGATGACATTCATTTTTATGAATGTACTGGTAACATGCTTAGAAATTAATTATTAGTTTAAATGACTCAAATGCACAACATATTTGATAAATACTCCAAAGTGAAGACTGTTATGTTCATTGTTAT